CTCGAAAACCATAACTAATTCTAGACCAAAATGGACGAAGTCTGTACTCGTTTTCAGACCAAAACGGCGTAAAAATCATACCCTTTGGGGCGGCACAAACCTATATCGGGCTTACATAATGGAGTACCCCCCGGGGTATTTTTTCATGATGTAATATGATTAATGTAAATCAAGTAGAACGCGTTCTTTGTTGTTAAAGCTTTAACGCCCTGTCCTCACTAATGCGTTTTCAAAAGAATGCGTTTTCGTTGTCACGGGGTTTGCTTTTCAGGATTTTCACGTGAGACAACAGCTTCCATCTTAGCCCTTACAGTATGCCCCGTACAAACGGACGAAAACATTGCTGGCCAACAACTCCCAATATTGTTGAATGTTACATGTTGGGTCCGTTCGCACGGCCCTGTTGCACGTTGTTGAGTGTTGTTGGGAGTTGTTGCCCAAAGTTTGAAACCGTTCAAACTTTTGGCTACGTGAAAACGGACGCAACAACTCCCAATGATGTTGTTGGGCGTTGTTACGTCTGTTTGCCAGTAGTTCGAGACATACTTTTATGCAAAGGTAACAGAGAACAACAGGGTAAATTTAATTTCTAAGACGATTTTTTTTCGGCGATCGTAGAAAGCCTCGAGCAATTTTGTTATAGCAAGTTCTGTAGGCCAGTTTATGAGTTTATCATCCTAAATAATAACCTACGCCAGGGCCAGCGAAGTGAAGACTACTAATGGGTTTTTGACCGCTACTTATCAGGACTTATTAGATTAATCTGTCCACATGTTTTGTAAGTAGTTCTGTTGATCTATTTTTTTCCGTTTAAATTATGCTGGAAGAATCCATTTCCTCTGAATGTTGCATGAATCACGAAATAAGGCAACGATACGTTTTCTTTTTAATAATAAAAAAATTATTTCTGGTGACTGTCTTTTATGCTCAGTTAGCCTATTATTGTACATTCATAATAATCTTCATTTAAAGGTGATGTTTCACGAGACGATTCGCAACGACGATTTTTATCGCAACACAGCGTGGAAACATTGTTGCGACGATGTTTCGAATGGTTAAAACATTGCTACAGCATTGCAACGCTGTGTTGCTCTAAATATCGTCGTTGCGAATCGTCCCGTGTAACATCACCCTAAATGAGATGAGTCTCGAAACTTATCAAAATTCAAACCGTGGGAACCCGCAACAGTCGCCAACCTGATTGTAACATCAGTAAAAATAACTGCTTAAACGTTGAAACAAGGTATAATTACACAGCAAACATAGATAGACGGAAACCGGATGAACAAACTTGAAGAAGATTAACACGGATTACAATTGTGTTTTTTGAAAACTTGTTGGCGTAAATATTTTTGAAAGGTAATTGTCGTTGCCTGTTAGTTTTTGGGAGAAAGGCATATTTTTTCTACACGAAGCCGTAATTTTGTCATTCACACTCTCTTGTCATTTACAAGTGATTTGTCAAGATCCATAGCGAAAAAGGACGCTTCTTAAAGTGCCAAGTCTTCTAGCTGGCCTAAAGAGACCCTCTAACAGTTCTAATAGGGGACATTAAAAGATAAATGTTTCTGAACTGAAATAAGTGACTGACCAGATTGACTAACCCACTGACTAGATTGTTTTCATCATTCAACAGCTAATTACTCCTGGCCTTTTTATCCAATTGCTAACCAGGCATTGTATGGTTACGACCAAGCATCCAACAAATCTTTCAAAAGCGAGAAAATCCCAAATGGCGTCAGAACTCAGGTGGAAGATGGAATCCAGGCTCTGTTTGTGCCCGCAGGAGAAGAGGTCGACCTTGGTGACTTTGCTGGTACGTGCATCAGTAATCCATATCTCTGTCAGAATTTTACTGTGTCATTTCTATTTAAAACTGGAGCCGATAAAGATCTAAAGGTCCTGGATTCGGGCTTGCGTGCTGATGACCAAACAGATGAGTACGAGTATGGCTGGTCATTTGAGATTTCTCCCTATTCTGGCAGTGCTGAAGCGACAGTCACCGGTAATGGCGCGGGCAGCGATCTGGCGGCTCTCAATTCTTGGATTCAAATAGTTTTTACTTTTGATTACGGAATAATAACCAACGTAGTCCTCTACCAAAATTATAATGGCACGCTAGTAGACAATCTGATGGCATCGGGACAAAGCTATGTGGATCAAGACCGGAACACGCGTCTGAAGCTTGGCTCCACATCCAACACAAAAGGGTTCTTTATAAGCAACCTAAACTTTATTGGAATTAAGCTGAGTGTAGAAGAAATTCAAGAACTTGGGAACAGGAGTTTTAAAGAAGG